ACTGCCTGGGAGGCAAGAGCAACTATAAGAAACTTCTGCTCTGAAGCATCCTCCAGAGGAGCTGCCTACCACCTCTATGGGAAGCACTGTCTTCCCTCTTCCTTTTGGAAATGTACACAGAAATAAAGGGAGCAGGGAACATGAGTGCCTGTCCTTCAGTGACTTCCACAGGGATCAAGGAGAATAGTGAGAATTTTTACACATGTAACAGTGGAAAATTAAAATTCAGGGAAGCAAGGGTACTAATAAGCAACATCATAGCTGAGAAGTAACTAAGCTGCTATGAGTAAATGAAATGAAAGCAGTGTCAAACACCCAGGATTTATTATAAAAATTTGGATACAGTGCCTAAAAAAATCTGATTTGTATTGACCACAGAACTTAAAACCTGCTTGGATATGATAGAAGAATGGCACATGCAGTGAAATATGTCTCAAGGACTTTTAGCAAATTTAAAACAGTGATTTCCAAAGTCTTGGAGAAAAAGCATAGGGGTGCCACAGAAATCAGGGTAAAAGAGCAGTGTAACTTATCATTGTTATTAGACAGCCAAAAGAGAAATGAATCATAAATATACTAATAGGTGTAAAGAAGAAAGAGCAGAGTGCACAAGCAAATAAAATGATGTCAAGACCCTAGAAAACAGACATAAAAAATTGGATAGAATATTGCAGCTTGTTATGTCACAAGAAACCACCTGTGAACAGCTATTTGGCAGGTGAGATTTGTTTAATATGGGGTGAAGAAAAGCACTTTTCCACCTGGAGTTTTCAGTTACAGCACACCTGCTGATCAGACAGTACTGTGGACAGAACAGTCCCATGAAACGGTGTCTCCCCTGCCAGATAAGTATTAACTTAATTATCTACTCTTGTTTTATCTATAAACACAGAGCTCAGGACTTCCCTTAATTCATACTTGTTTGGACTATGTAGGGGTTTGGATGGGAAAAGAACATAATGAATCATCAAGGGTTTTTTTCCACTGCTATCACAAGCAACAGTATTGCAAATATCCTGAACTCCCTCTTGAAACAACTTCCAGCCTTTGCCTCCTGTTGGAAGACATTTCTGGAATCTCATACTTACACTTTATGTTCAGCATAAATTATATTCTTTGATTATATGCAGTGATCCCTGTGGTAAAACCATTTTTTCATATAAATCTCTGCCTTCCCTATGTCTACTCGCTCGTGTACTCCAAGCTAGTAGTAATACCTTCCTTTTGCTAAGCTAAACACCCAAGTTCTTTCAGTATAAGAATAGGAGCTCTCCATGACCCTCAAGCATCCAGGTAGTTTGAATTAATCTTCCACAAGCATTAGGAAATGTGACTGCTGCACAATGCTCCAGAGGAAGCTCATTTGCTCCTCGCACAGGGGGACAAGTGCTTTTCTGTCTCTGCTGGAGACATGTCTCCCTGGGCAGCCTGAATCCTACTTGGTCTCTCCCACAGCTTCTTCAGACATAACGAGAGTAGTTATACAAACCCCACATGTTCATCCTCCTCTTTATTTTCTAATGAATGGGACTTTGTATGCTAAAAAGTTATTTTTATTTTTTCACTAATAATATTGATTTTCAGTTTAAGAGTTATCAGTAACCTCATTTCTAATTAAATCAGTGGTTTACATCAGTTTCCATATTCTTCCAGAGTCATCAAGTATCAGGTCAAATAGCTTGCAGAACTTGGAATTATGCTAGTTACAAATATTATCAGCCTATTCTTTTGATCATCGCTTCTTAAGCATTGGCTGATCAGCAAAAACTAACTCCCAAATGACCATGCCCTTGACATTAAATATCTTGTTTTAATTTAATTCTCTATTAAGAAGGTTCTGCATCAGTCACCTCACCTTTTTTTCTTAGGAATACTGATAAATGGATAGGCCTATATTGCCTGAACGTCAGACATCTGGATCTTGACCAGTGTTTCAAAGCAATCATTGTTCATATTAAGAGAGCTCCTTTATCAACCCTGTCCCAACTGAGGTTGCTGGGTATTGACAACTGACAGAAAAGCTTTAGCAGATGTGACTCAAGACTCCCCTGAGCCCTGCTGGAGTGGAAAGGATTTATTATACAATTAGCATATTAATAATTTCCTGCTTTTTCCTAAACCCCCAATACAATATTGGCTATTCCTGCTTTTTTTTTTTAAAAAAAAAAACACCAGACCTGATTTTCATCATTTCTCTCCATTCACTTCGATATAATCTCTTCTCTTCCTCCCATGTTTCAAAAAGGCATTGCTGTTGTCCTCAAGGCCATAGATCATACACTGGTGCCTTGGTTCTTTGGCTTTTCTGCAGTAAGCTGCCTCCTAATTTATATTCATTATTACCAACACCTCCTTTGTCCCATTTGTTATACAATTTTCATACCTCTGACACTTTCTCTATAAGCTGATTTTCCAAGCAAAATAACTCTCTTTTTCTGTCACAGGCTTTTTCAGTATTCTGAAACAGTACACAGTATACCTGCTTAAATTCTTCCTTGCAGAGATTTGATTCAGAATTTGTTTCAGCTTATAAAATTAGCCTTGTAGAAGTACTATCTATGTTTAATGTATTTGATATAATTTTGGAATGCAATCCACTAGCAAAACTGTTCCAAAAGACTTTTAACTGCCAGGGAGAGGTAAGTTATATGGAGTGAAAAATTAAGAGCCTTTTCCGATTTTGAATTAATGAGCCCACAGCTAGAACACTGTATATAGTTCAGAGTACATCCATTCCAGGCATGACACCTGAAAGACTTGGAGGAGAAAAAACATCAATCAGGGCTGAGTGCATTTTTGAAGTGTGTTTTAAATAATGAAATGCTTTTAACTAACTGACAAGTGGGAAAGGAGAGGAATCAAACAAATGCCTATGTGTATTTTTACAGAGATACATCACTTATAGCATTTAAGTAGAAGACAGGGAAGAAGGAACACAGAGAAAAAATTACCGAGATAGATTGGATGAGGGGCAGAGAGTTACTGAATCCATCTAGACTGAACCATGACTCTGTATGCCACTGATATGGCATATATGGAAAGGTTTTTCTTGAGCATGGAGGATGTAGACATGATGAGCAAATAGATATTCCATCTTTTATCTTGGTTTGTCCCTTGCTTATATTCCTGTTTTGCTCCTTTAAGGAACTGGCTATTCAGGCAGCTAGGCTAATCAGGGTGGCTTGGACCATCCACACTGCATGTCTGGGTCATGGTGGGGGGGTTGTTTGATTCATGTATAGAGAGTAGGGAGCATAGAGAGTGTCCCAAAGGGTAAGTTTTCCTGGACTGGACATTGCTCATTTAATTCTATGACAGGGCCCTACAAGATCAGAGGGCATCTCACCAGCTGCTTTAGAAACGCCACCATGAAACATAGGAAAAAAACTGTCAGTTCAACAGATTCCCCCACTGGACTTTGATCCTACAAGACCTGCACAGCCTAAACTAAAGCATATTTTAGTTCTCCCACCATTGTGATATCCACATAAAAGAGATCCTAGGAATCTGGCACAGCTCTGATGTGGTCTTGTTCCCTAATCTGCACACACTGCTCAACTCCACTGCATTTAGAGGGATTAATTTTAGCACCAAAATAAGAGCTTACTGTTCTCCCCTTACAATATCAGTTAATGATGCATCACAGAACCACAGAATAGCAGAATGGTTTGGGCCGGAAGGGACCTTAAAGCTCATCTAGTTCCACACTTGGGAGGGAGGGCAGGGAGCCATAGTCTCTCCTTGTAACTAGGTTATTGTATGCCCTTTGCTTACAGGCATCAAATCTTCAGCATGGGTTTTAGCACTTTGGTATCACTGAAGATCAACATAACAGCAACACGGCACAATCACCAAAATTGCCTAAAGCTTAAAAATATCAAATGTAGCTAATGCAATTTCAGTGAGCTTTCATTGCACGTGAACTGTCAAGAGCCTCTGCCCTGCTTGCTAATAAAATCACCAAGCCCACAGCCAAAGTGTGGTGCAGATGATCCTCCGCAGCGGGCTGCCCTCTGCCTGCTACCTGCCATCCATCCTGCAAGGCTGGGCCACAACGACACGCAGCCCTGACACCAGAGCATCAACGGCCTTTGCCACAGCAGCACCTTCTAGCTTCAGCCAGTCACTGCCCCTTCAGCCTGTTAGTGATAGAGGGATGGAAGGAAGGAACTCCTCAAACTGGCCAAAGTCGTTCCTTACTGTGACAGCTCCTGCACTGTGTTTCATTAATTCCATGAGAGCAGCATGCACGCCACACAGATGGATGGGATGGGATGGGATGGGATGGGATGGGATGGGATGGGATGGGATGGGATGGGATGGGATGGGATGAGCTAGGCTGGGCTGAGCTGGGCTGGGCTGGGCTGAGCTGGGCTGGGCTGGGCTGGGCTGAGCTGGGCTGGGCTGGGCTGGGCTGGGCTGAGCTGAGCTGGGCTGGGCTGAGCTGAGCTGGGCTGGGCTGAGCTGAGCTGGGTTGGGCTGGGCTGGGCTGAGCTAAGCTGGGCTGGGCTGAGCTGGGCTGAGCTGGGCTGGGCTGGGCTGGGCTGGGCTGAGCTGAGCTGGGCTGGGCTGGGCTGAGCTGGGCTGGGCTGGGCTGAGCTGGGCTGAGCTGGGCTGAGCTGAGCTGGGCTGGGCTGGGCTGAGCTGGGCTGGGCTGAGCTGAGCTGGGCTGAGCTGAGCTGAGCTGGGCTGGGCTGAGCTGAGCTGGGCTGGGCTGGGCTGGGCTGGGCTGGGCTGGGCTGGGCTGGGCTTGGCTGAGCTGAGCTGAGCTGGGCTGAGCTGAGCTGAGCTGGGCTGGGCTGAGCTGAGCTGAGCTGAGCTGGGCTGGGCTGAGCTCTGCTCTGCTGCCCTCCCGCCGGGACCCGCGTCCCCCGGCCTTCACCTGGTGGGGCTGAGGAGCGCAGTGTGAGGTAGCGGCGTGGGGCCGATCCCTCGTGAGGTAACGGGTGTGCCAGGGCGGAGCCCCGGGGCCGGGCTGTGCGTGGTGGTCCTGGTTTCAGACCCAGTCGCTGCCGGTTGCTCTGGTGTGGCCCAGAATGGCCGGCGCGAGGCTGGACTTTGGCTTGCTCTGGAAGCCCCTGCGCTTCATTAAGGTCCTCCAGTGGGTGAGTGGGGTTGGGGAATGTGTAAGGGGAACCCCCCCCCCCCCCCCCCTTCTCAGAGGGCTGGTTCTTCTCCTTCCCCAGGCCTGGCTTTGCTCCTGTGTCTTAGCTGAGTAGGTCTGAGGAGGTGTGTGCCTCGTGGTGGTGGTGGTGGATGCTCAACATGAGGCTGCTGTTCAGCCAAGCATGCTGGCTGGGAGGGAAGAAAACAGTTCTCCAGATAGATAAAATCTATATGCTAATTATGAGTTTGTCATAGTAATTTGTGCTGCTGTGTGATGTGTGTTCTGGTTGCTGGGGGTTTTGGGTATTGCTAGTAAGTAAAGGTAAAAGAATAGCTACTTAGTCATGCTGGTGTGCAGTATCCTGAGTGTGTATTTTCTAGCTGCCCTAATCTACAGCTGTGGATGTCTGGGACTCCTAAAAATACTTCCCTTACCAACTGTGTAGTGTGCTGACTTTTCTCTTCAAGGAAATTTGCTGTAGAGTTAAGAAAAATAAACAAGAAACTCTTAAATGTGCTTTTTTTCTTAGTGGTGTTGCTCAAGTTGAGCTTCTAGAATCCAAAATGTTTGCATTATCTCTTGACATCACTTCATACTTGAGGTTTCCAGACTTTCTTCCCATTTCTTGATTTCATTATCCATTTCAGCTAAATGTTGGGTTTATTTCCTTGGAGATCCAGTGGTGTGCATTAATGTGTCTCTGTATCAATTCCTATAGATTTTTGACATCTTTGCTTTTGCCACATGTGGAGGCTTTCAAGGTGGAACTACTCTTCTAGCTTCCTGCCAAGGCATGGTAAACAAAACAGTTACAGCCGCTTTTGCTTATCCTTTCAGGTAAGTATTAGCTCTTCAGTTGCCACTTATATGCTAATTATCAATTTTTCACTTCTTTCCCGTCTTTTGTCAGTGCCCAATAGAAGTATATAGAAATAGCAATAGGCTGTTTCACTCTACATTAAGCTCTATTCTACTGGTGTGTGAATGCAAAAGAAGATCAGCTAGTAAGAAAAACTACAATTAATTTTAACAGCCTTTTCTTCATCAATTTGTAGCTGCTTTGGAGGCCCAGATTAGATTAGATTAGATTCAGAAGTACAGATTTTGGTCACAAAACCAAGCACCATAATAATACTTGGAGGGGAAAGTAGGAATGTGAAATGGTTCTGTGCTGGTCGCTGCTAGTCACACAGGTTTGTTGAACTTCGTGTTTGTATGGTCTTGAAGCTGTAATGCAACCCAGTCTCTTTTACGTCCTGCCCCACTTCTTTAACTGCCAGTCTCTTAAAATAATGTTATGCCTCCTTCCACATCAGGATTTCTTTCTTCAGTTACTCTAAAGAGTAGATTCTTCCCTAAAAGTTGCCATTGCATATCCCAGTGTAGGATGGGGAACAGTCATCAGATATCTTGGCAAGCCTTTGTGCTGTATAATTGATGTATTATGCAAACACAAATTTTGTTTTACAGAGAACTTGCACAATCAGAATGCTGAAGCACTGTTACTGTGAATCATGTCTCTGTAAAGTTTCCACTGTATAGCAAACACTAATTACATGAAGGATATAATCTTTGCAAGTTGTATACTGTTGTATTTAGTGCACCAGACCCAAATTTCTGTGGTGGTACTTGGACTGATGTTTATCTTGAAGGCAACTTCTCATCTTCTGCACAGTTCTTCATTACTACACTTGCAGTGTTAGTATTCCTCTACAGCATTGCAGCTCTTGTGGTATATATTGGATATAAGCATATGTAAGACCAAAAGGGGAGGTTTCCACTAACTGGAAGTAGCACTAAAATATTTTAATGCTTGCCTGTGAAACTACAAGGAGATCAGAAATACTGCTGATACAAGAATACCTGAATAACTTGTGAATATTCAGTAGTTCCAGAAGTTAGGTGGGTCATGAGCAGAGTATCTCAGACTAGTTACTACAGCAGTCAAGCAGAAAAGGGGATCCAAAGATCTTGAACATTAGTGGTATTGTACCTTATGCAGTTATTGAAGCAGAGTAGAATGAAGTTCCACCTTCTCAAGTGAACAGTGTCTTCACCACAACTTTTATTTTGTTTCATGTATTCAAATATACAATTGTTCCATAGCTGGAACCTCTCTTAGTGTCTGAGAATATTCCCTGTGCAGAGCACCTGCTGTGTGGATGCTACTGGCAGAGGGAAATAGTCATCTTGTGAATTTTGGTCACTTATGTGGACTTAAAATTTTTTAGCATAAATGCTACACATCTGATTTTAGAAATTATTTTTTTACAAAGGTTAAAATTGCCTATGCTTGATAGGTGCAGAGGCATACAGTTTTGTAGCTGATCAGTACAGAATATAACTTGTGTTGTAATTACAGCACTGTTAATAGCTAAATGATCATTCGCACTGATGCAGTTATTTTGGTGATTTAATTGATGCTGTCTCTGCCTTGGTCTCTTATGTGTATTCATGGATATTTTTTAAGTTACTAATGAGTACTTCTCTTTTGTAGGACTTGGTTATCGCTGTCATAACAGCCTTTTTGTGGCTAGTCAGTACTTTTACTTGGGCAAAGGTGCTTGCTGACATCAAAATGTACGCAGGGGCCAGCATTATTCTAGGAATTGAATCTTGCAAAACACCAGGAACAACTTGTCATTTTGCTGCTGTGACCAGCATGGGAGCTCTGAATATGTCTGTGGTATATATGCCTTCTGCCACATGGGTACAATAAAATGTGTTAGAAAAAAGCCAGTGGCACCTGAGAGCCCTGTTCTATTATTGCATGCGTTGCTTTGTGTGAAAATTGCTTTAGGTGCTATCAGTCATTCAGGCTCTTTAAAACTGGTAAAATACCTATCTTTTTCTTTAGAAGGAAACTCGTTCCTCTTAATTTCTTTGAGGAAATAACTTGTAGGATTTGCCTCTATAGCTGTTAAATGTGTCTGGAAATGCTGTATCTGAGTATAATTTTTTCTGTAGCCAAAAGCACCTTAAAATATGATACTGCACCATACAAATGGTGGCTTGGCTGATGCAAATAAAGAGGAAACACTATGCCTCCTGTTCTGTCTTTTGGTGCTGAACCTAGGTTTTTAATCAACTGAGCATTTTTACATATTAAGTAGAGGTTCTTTGTAATATAAAGATATAAAGCTCATGTTCATAGAAAGAACTCTTCACAGGTCTTCACAGTAGGGCAAATGAGATTTATTGTATGATCTTCTGAGTGAACCCTGCTTTTCAAGACTCTGGCTGTTATTCATTGGCCCAGTAATAATTAATTGTGTGTTCTGGAGGCTATGAGTGACTGGAAAGAATTTATCTAATTCCATGAAAAGGATAAAGTAAATAGAAATATCTGATTTCTAAAAGAGTCTGTTAAAATAGCTTGTAATACTCTAAAGCATGAGGAAATATCCATGTCAAAGAGCCGCCAAAGATAGCGGTTGTTTCTGGCTTGTCTTGAAGCTACATTCTAGGGTTTTGTTGTTTTGGGTTTTTTTGTTTGTTTTTTTATTAAAAATCTTATCACCTTTTTTCTAACCTACAGGTATTTGGCTTGATTAATATGATTTTAAGGGAAGGAAATATTTGATTTCTATACAAGGACACCAACCTGCACAACCAGCCAAACAGAATTTCTCTAAGTCCAGCAATACATCATATTCAAAGAGGAGCATAGAAACAAGGTGATACTTTGAAGTGCTTCCAGATTTACATCATACTGCCAAGAGCATGGAGCCATTAGGATTTATGTCAAGAATAACTAATGATATTTTGTAAAAACTTGTTTTGTATAATGGCTTGACATAAGGTCTCAGATACTCCAATTGAAGTGTTATCTTGAAATATATTATACCTTTCAGAGTTGTGCAGCCTTTTATTGCAGTTTTTGAAGAGAAAAAAAAATGAGGTTATCTGGATGCTGGCCCTTTCAGATTCTTAAATTAGCCGTGTAGAAGGGATGGGTGAGAAGCAAGTGCATTTGGGTTATTAATGCAACTTCTTTAGTTCTAACAAGCCTTAGCTGAAAAATGAAATGTAATTGCAACTAGGGCATGTGAAAATGCAGTTCAAGTTCTTCCTATTGCTGATATATCAAAAGCTGTCCGAGTAGAACTTGTAGCTCTGTCAGAGTTGTAACCACCACATGCAGTTTTCCAGATATTCCATTCAGATTACTGTGTCTAATCTGACAGAACTATCTGTAAGAACATTACTTCTGTGTTTAATGTCATTCTATTTAATGGCTCAGGACAATCTGAACAAGAAATCTTAGAGTTTCACTACAAAATTGTTAAAGAGTGCATATATGTGTGCAATAGATAACTTAGACTCTTACTGATACTGTAGAAATCAAAGCTAATATATTCCAACTAGTAGTGGCTGGGCTCTGAATTCTTTTTGAGGTGCATGAGCAATGCTTGTGTGTGAAGGGACATAACTGGAGATATATGAATATGACTAAGTTGTCAGTGATATTATTCAGCTTATTCCTTGGGAGCAATATTTGGTACTTCTCATGTGGACTTCTTTATTATGATATATGACCCTGTGAATTGCCCAGAAAAAAATGTGAGTTTTGACAAATCTAATAAATGAGCTGTTCAGTTTCTTGATTTGTTTAGACTGTTTGTGATTAAAATAGCCATAGTGTGTGTGTGTGTGCGCATAATGCAAATCCTAATTGTCTTGTGTCCCCAAGCTACTGATTGCCTGATAGTAACCTTCCAGTCCAAAGACTGTCAGAAAATAAGTATGACTTGCTGAAAGAATATGCCTTGTGTCCTTACTGCTGTATCAGTGACGTAAATGTATTGGCTTTGTAGTTTCTTAGCTATTGGCAACCTTGCTAGCTGAAGGAGTTATCTGTGCTGCAGAAGGGCTTTTTACACAGATACCTTGGGTTTGTTGTAGACAGGACAATCTGTCATTCCTGCAGAATAAAGCTGCTTGGTGCTGCCCAGCACTTCTTTCTGTCAGCCCAAAGTGGGGGCTTTTAGTACTTAAAACTATCTAAAATTTCATTTGAATCTCGAAGAAGTGCAATGTTCAGTTGTCCTTTCCTAAAACTCTGTTCTTTCTTCTGCATTCCTGGATAAGGGATTTGAAAGCAATGAGCTTCTGTTCTTTGTGTTACTGTCTCAACAAGACAGACTTGTGGTTATTCAAGTACCACGTTATCCCACCTTAAAGGCTTCTTGAGGGAAGAGAAAAGCAGTGTACTCTGTTCCTACTCTTGCCTGAAAAGTAAAGCACTCAAAATCATAATATGGACTTTCTTGGGATCTTTCCTCTGTCCTGGGCCTTCTGCAACCCAAGAGGCAATTCTTAATGGAAGACTGGGTCATAGGATTTAGGAAGAACAATATCATTCTCGTTTTCACAAGCAAGATATGAAACTAGGTACTTCTATTATGGGTTTATTTGGAGAATCTTTTTGATAGCAAAGGTGGGCTAAGAGCTGAAGGGCTGCTGAAACTGCCAAATGGTTTTGACAGTGAAGTGGGGTTTTTCTTTAGCTTTGCACTCAAAGGACTTTAAGCAGATCAGTGATTGACCCTGCTTTCTCCACATCCTTGCTTGTGTAGATGTTACATGCAAGCGGGCCAGGGCATGTGCATTCTTCTAGTAGTCCCATGCTGTTTGCACTTCCTTTACCATCAGAATATTGATTATGGCTGGGTAGTCTTCAGTCATTTCAGTGGTCTGAATTGGGTCTTGAAGCTTCACAGGAAATATCAGTGATTAAAAAAATGAGTGTAATCTCTGCTACCAGCCCAGCAGAATTGAATTGAGCTATAAATGTAGCATAACTTTTGTGGAAGGGCTGCATATATAGTGATTACAATGCTTTGGTGTTAACTAAAATAGAATGCAAAGCTTCCATTGATATTTAGCATACAGAGCAGTTGATTATAAGGGTGTGTTAGGCTGAGGTTCTCTTGCACTAGCTGTTCTGCCTCTCAAGAACCCCTGTCAGCAATGACTTCTGTGGTATTCTTTCTGACCTCTTTTCTTGCATCAGTTCCATGTTTCAGTTACTGACTTTACACCTCAAATCCTCATTCCTCCTTGAAGTGAGTTCATTTATTACCTAATGCTGCCCTGAACTGACAGTTGTCACAGATGGTTTGTTTTGTAGTGTTATATCTATATCACTATGAATAGCTGGGAGGAGAGGGATGGAGAAGAGAGTGGGAGGTGAGGGAGAAGTCAAAACTATTAGACTTTTTCTATTGCTCTCTTTCTAACAGTGTTATAGACACTTGAGATAAAAAGCTCTATGCTGTTTCATCATGGTGAGCTACGATAGAATTACTCCTTCAAGGTTATGAAAATCAATATTTAGATGTCTGGGTAATTCTATTATTATAGCTTAAATTTCAAAGCTAGACCTGAAGTAAATCATTATTTGTCACCTGATCAAAGCTAGCACTGCTCTGAGCAAGAGGTTGAACCAATTTTTTTTACAGTGGTCCCTTCTTTATAATGTTTGGGTTTTCATTGTTGGTTTTTTTTTCTCCCTAACACCTGATGAGCCATTGTTTGCCTTTCCCCCCTATTTTTTTTTTTGTCTTTTAGCCAGAGGCTGCCTGTTTGCATCATTGTGCGTGGTTATTTAAAATGTATATTTCATCCTGAAATCTAAAGCCTCCATGAATTTTCATACTGCCTAAGAAAAAACCCTGCTAATTATAGATTAGGTTTTTTCAGCCTCATAATTCTTTGGATTTAAGTTTACACATGATGTGGCTAAAACGTAGTTTTATTAACCTTTATTTTTAACAAAACTATGTTCCTGTCTATTTATTAAGTGCTTATTTACCAACTGAAGCTCCAGTTCTGCGCTGAACTGACTTTTGTCACAAATAGACCCATTAGAGTGATTGGGATGGCTTCGTTATAAAATGGTAATTGTGTGTATTTTTGCACCCAAGAGAGCAGGAAGGGATTAGATCAATATATACGTAATTGATGGCTGAGGTCTAGCCCACAACTGAAACAGAACTGGGAAGTTTAGCATACTGTAATTGATTGTTTCAACAAAAACTTACATTTCACGTTCATTCAGAGAGACATTTGTGTTTTCCATATTGCCAAAACTTTCCTTCACACTTTTTGTAGGTGAAACAAGTGTGTCCCACCCCCAGAGTGCTTTCCTTCAGAAGCCAGGGAGAGCAAGTACAGCAGGCAGGGCAGGGCTATACCTGGTAAAATATAGATCAACAAATAGGTGGTTGTGTCTTGTAGAAATTCAAGCTGCATATATGTCTGTTCTACACAGATAAATGTCAACAGCATCCTGGCTCTGCAGGCTGAGGTGAGTGTGACCTGTAGTCCACAGCAAGCAAGATTTTTAAAAGGAAAAATAACCCCATGTCCACTTCTGGCTCATTATGATTAGACTTGTTTCCTTCACAAGGGGGAGAGTCTGATGCAGAGTACTGTTGGCCTTGATGTCTGATAGCATCCTGCAGCTGAGATGAAATGGAAAGCATCATGCAGCAGGAGTAAGCAGCTGCTCTCATTTACCTTGGACACCCACAAAGGGCTGAACAGCCTTTGCCTTTGAATTGACATCATACTCATACTGGCAGTACCGAAACACTCAATGTCTTATTTACTCATGAGAGTGGAAAAAAAAAAAAAAAAAGACTCTTTGATTTACCAGCTTTATCTTGACTGCACAAGAATCACTGTTGCTATCAGGAGAAGCAGCGTGCTTGATCCCTCTGTATTGAGGGAACAAAGGAACTGGAAATCTGCCAGGTCTCTACAGGTAAGATTCCTTCAGCTGGAAGCAATCTCTTTTGCAGCCATCAGCAGAGCAAGTTCATAAAAATCCTTTCACTCTGCATTAATCCTTCTGGTAGCAGGCTATAGTTATGGATCTCTAGCAAGTGAAATGAGGTATGATACCTGGTGGGATGCTAGCGAGAGCGGATTGGGATCAGAAACTCATGGCAGGAAGAAAGGCTGGATGGTGGTAGTGGAAAATGAAGCTGAGTGGGATAGCAGTAGTGAACTCCACAGCATTATGAGGTGTTTAAGGAACAGATTACTTTGTGGTTTAGGGAGCTGTAACCAGCGATCTGAGGGTCAGGCTCCTGTGACAATGAAATGTACATACTCTGTGTGCCAGCTCCAAGGAGAGTTCCTGCCATGAGAGCTGGCATAGTGGTGGTGGTTGAGAGCTTTGCCATCAACCTGCGAGAAAAGCCACATGAACTCAAGCCATGAGTGATCTGATAATGTCAAATAGCCAGTAGCAGCCAGTGCTGAACGGAGTCACTGCGGTATCTGTATCACTGTGGCCACTATGATCCCAGAGACCAAACCAATCTCAAACACAGGCTGGATCTAGGACACTGCAATGCCAGCTGACAGGCCAGCAGTATTAGTAGTGTTAACTGTACCAGAGCTGAACAGCATTTTGCGATGTGCAGTAAATTCATCAGAGCTCTGGCTCTGCTTGCACACCTCCTGTTGCTAGCCTTGATGTGAAAAGCTGTAGGATTGTGGCTTCATCACCTGCTTGAGGACACAGTGTAGCTGTAGCCTATTTATTTTATCCTGTCTCCTAGAACTGAGCAGCCCATAAAATGGGAAACTTGGCTGTGATGCACCATGCTGGCTTGGCTGCCCACCATGCTGCAAACTCCTGCAAAGCTGGTTGGGTATCTCGCTTTCGGAAGCTGTTTTAAGACAGTCGCTGGTGCTTCCACCAGTCTGGTGCCTGACTCTCAAGCAAGTCATGACTGCACATCAGGCATTCTTCATTATCCTGGATCATCTGCTTCCTAGCAGATTTGCTGTATAGCCAAAAGCAAAGTTGTCAGAGGCCAGGTTTTGCTGCTTAGT